TTTGCAGACACTGATTTAGTAAAAACACACATGCACATACATATGTAACTCACTACACACCTTTTAGAATGGCCCAAACCCAAAACACTGACAATATCAAATGCTGATGAAGATTTGGAACAGGAAATCTCATTTGTTGAGGTGGGAATATAAAATGGTACAGCCACTTTGGAAGGCAGTTGGCAGTTTTTATAAAACTAAACAAATTCTTGTCATACGGTCCAACGGTATGACTGAGTTCTGTATTTACCCAAATTGAAAATTTATGTCCACAAAAAAACCTGCACATGGATGTTTATAACAGCTTTATTCATAACTGCCAAACTTGGAAGTAACCAAGATGTCCTTCAATAGCTAAATAAACTGTGGAATATCCAGACAATGGAACATCATTAAAAAGCCATGAAAAGACAATAGAACCTCAAGTACATATTACTAAGTGAAAGTAGCCAATCTGAAAAGTCCACATATGCATACTGTATGATTCCAACTATATATTATTCTGGAAAAGACAGTAAAAAGTTCAGCAGTTGCCAGGGGTTGGAAGGGAAAGGAAGGATGATTAGACAGAGCACAGAGGATTTTTAGGGCAGTGAAATTATTCTGTGTGACACTACAGTGGGGGATATATGTCATTATACACTTGTCAAAACCCATAGAATGTACACCAAGAGTAAACCCTGGAATAAACTATGGACTTTGGGTAATAATGACATGTCAATATAAGTTCATAGAATATACCACTGTGGTACAGGATGTCGATAATGGGGGAGGGTACACATGTGTAGGGGTAGAGGGGTATATAGAGTATGCTCTCTGTACTTTCTATTCAATTCTGCTATGAAGCTAAAACTGCTCAATAAAATAAAGCCTATTTAAAAAACTAATGAATACTGTAAAAGCAATGTCTGTAAAAGTTAAATGGGACCACTGATGTAATGTGATTATCCCACATCTAGTGATCACTTATCCAATTATCCAATATACCTATATTTTCAAATATTAGATCTTAAATCATACATTTAGTCTGAAAAGATCTTTCCTTCCTACCACCCACTCTCCACCTACCAAAATTCTAACTTTTAACATTTCATAACTCAATATATCACTGACATATTGAAGCAGTTATCATTTATGACAATGCTATCATTTATTATTGTCCTTTTGTGTTGTTTTTCTTACTCCTTCCCACTTCACTCACTCAAGCTGCCTGCCTGCCTCCAGTCCCACTTGAGGCTATAACCCATTTAGCTACTTGCTTCTATGTCTCTCATAGCTACTGAACTATAAATTTCACAAGAACAAGGAGTTATTTCTTTCATTCCTCCCATCTGACTACAGTATTTATTCATCAACTATTTTCTAAATTTATTAAAATATTAGTCAACAAAATAGAAAAAATGTTAACATTTAATCCATAATAAATGTTGTTCCTTAAGCTTTAACGGTAGGTAGTACTGCTTTTTACTCTTAAAATTCACTTCCAAACTCTATATCCTTTTTACACTTAAATTACAAGTAGACTCTTTTTGAGGACTGGAAGAGTGAGAGGCTGAAATGCAGAAAAGGAAGGAAAAGATCATATGTTAAAGACCAATTATGTGCCAGGCATTATACTGGGCTCAATAATTAAGTGAGGGAGAGGCAAACCCAGCAGTTAGGAGTGCGTGGCACATCCCTAGGGACAAACATTGTTGGACCAAGTAGGACTAGTACTCCCGGACAGCCTGTGAAATTCTGCAACAAGCAGGAATAACACAGAGTTGCCAGAATGGGGAGCAGTTACTTTGTGTAAACTTTGTGAGATACTTACAGCATTCTTAGAAGTGGTGACCTGATACCACCTGAAGAGTCTATATAAAAGCCCATGACATCTGGCCAATTACATCTGCCTTTAGGAAGTCTCACTAGATAGATACCTGGTACTGTTCAATTTCCTTAGAAAGAAACAGATCATAAGGGATTGTCCTATAATCCCTGCTATCAAAACAGAATAAGGAAGATGTGAAATCAGAAATGGCAGTTTTCATTTAACAGTGTAATGACTAATCAGCTTTGATTAAAGAAAAACCATAAAGCAAATAGTTTGGCCTACAGATATTCTGTTGCTTGAGATGTTATACTGTAAAACCTTTTTTTTAATTAAATTTTTTATTTAAGATAGCTGTGGATTCAAATGTGGTTGATATATATTTAATACAGAAAGATCCCTCATACCATTCACCCAGTTTACCCCAGCAGTAACATCTTGCAAAACTATAGTCACTATCACAATCAGATTTTGATATTGATAAGGTTTTGATATAAATATTTCCGTCACCACAAACATCCCTCCTGCTGCTGTTTTATACCCACCTGATTCCCTCCTGTTGTCCCACCCCTTTCTTTATCCCCGGCAACTACTAACCTGTCCTCAAATTTAATAATTTTGTCATTTCGATAATGTCGTATAAATGAAATCATACAATATACCACCTTTGGGATTGGCCGTTTTCACCCAGGATAAATCCCTAGAGATTCATCCCGCTGTAAACCGTTTTTATTTGTACAGATCATGAAACAATTACAACCTAGTAAGTAAACTAAGACCTTGGGTTTGCTGATGACTCACACTAAAGCAAAGAGCACAATAAAATTAAATTTCACTCTGCTCTGTTTTCTACATTTTCTTGCCACTCTAAAGACATAAAGACATTCTTGTTTTCAAATTGTTTGACCACTAAGACTGTTTTACAAGTTGAAATTATTTATTTTTATTTTTTTAGGTGAGGCAATCCTTGGCTGACCTCACAGATTACAAGGACCTTGTCAGCTTACAATCCTTTATTTTTATTTTTTACGCCTACAGCACTGGTCTTCCTACGTGGTCTCCCATCTAGGTACTAACCAGGCCCGACCATGCTTAGCTTCCAAGGTTAGACAGGATCAGGCTTGTTCAGGGTGGCATGGCTATAGGCTACAAGTTGAAATTATAAACCTTTATGTTTGTATGCCCATAGAGTTTTATGAAATTTGTCTCCAAAGAACATGGCTAGTTAAGTAAGGGAGTTCAAAAATCATTCTTCTTATTATTAATCATTTCAGATGGATATGAATTTACAATGAACTTCCGGAGTTTTCCCACTTAGAACCAAATCTGCTCTCTCACATTACCAAAACAAAACAAAAACACCTAACTAAATTTGGTGTCATTTGAAAAAGCAGCTCTCATGTTGCATTTTAACGACCTCAGAGAAGAAATACATGCATCTGTCAGCATCAAAACCTTAAAAACCACAAGATAATCCGTGTGTTCCTCAAATTTTTCCTTTCATGCATTTAGGATATCGTTCATAAACACTTCTAATATCTGCCAAACTTGGCAATAGAGTCTCATTGCTGAATGATCATTTGAAAAAGAAAAGCAAAATTCAATCCAGATAACTGACTTTCTACACCTTACCATTTTCAAAAACAGAAACCAAATAGGCCCATCTCACAAGAACAAACCTGTAACACAAAAGATCAAGCTATAAATAATCAAAGGGTCTGCAACCTCTTGGCATGTTTAAAGAACACAGGCCTAAAATTCATCGATCTTTTAACCAGGTCCACAGTACTCCACTGGTGATAAAATTTGTTATGAAAATCAAAATTCTTCAGTTACCAGTCGAAAGACTTCTAGATGAAGCACACATTCTTTTAAGTTTCTAACTTATAAATAGAGATGGAGATGGAGACGGAGTCGGAGACGGAGACGGAGACGGAGACGGAGATGGAGATGGAGATGGAGATGGAAATGGAGATATGAGGGAGAGGGAGAGGGAGAGAAGGGGTAGGAGAGGAGTGGGACAGAAGGACAGATATGGGGAAGGGAGTGCACTTCGACTTTAATTGACTTTACTACATGCATATACACACACACACACACACACACACACACGCACGCACGCACGCACACGCCCCTTTAGGAAAAGCTTCCTTATTACAACTTTGAATTACCACTCCTTTTCCTGCTTGGAGAAGGGTCCATTCAGACAATGGAGGTTAACCAGGATAACAGTCCACACTCCTTATTCTCTGATATTAACTCACTGACACCCGTTTGTCCACAGAGTCCAAGAGAAAAGTCCTACTCATGTAGCAACCCATCTCTCATTCATATTTGTATGACCTACACTGCTAGAGTCTACAAAATGTGCTGCACAAAGTGAGCGCTAAAAAGGAAATGTTGAATGTTAAGAAAACCATAAAAATGTACGTATTTAGAGATCTACAAAATCCCAGAATGCAACGGGCCAATTTTCCAATTCCTAAACATCCCAAAGAATGGAGACTATATAGCTTAGTGCCACTGTGTATCCAAAAGCTTATGTGTACCCTTTAAATAACACATCTATAGCTCATTTTTCTCATCTGAACAATGAGGATAATAAGAGCACCTAACTCATGGTTTTTACCACACACTACACAAAGGTTAGCCATTGATATTACTGAAAAAGATTGTTACAATAAAAGTAAGGCCAGTCACACAAAAGAGGCCAAAAGCTAATCAGAAATTATTCTAGAAGAGATAAAAGCAGAGGTTGGCAAACTTTTTCTGTAAATATTGGACCTGTCAGGCCAAGAGGCAATATCCACAACCCTTGAATCAATTATTATCCCAGGAAGGCTAATAGCGTTTTTGTTTGTTTGTATACACTTTACATTTTAAAACTTCAGAACCATTGTTAGTACAGGTTGTACAGGCTGGATTTGGACCCAGGGCCATAGTTTGCCAACCCCCTGCATAAGATTACAAAGATAGTAAGAGAAATCAGTGCTTTTTAAAGGCAACCTAAGGAAACGTTTGTGAGTTGATTAAAGTAGAGTGAATAACGTGCTGCCCCCAAACTTCTATACACCAGACAGACAGTGCTGGCGTGGCGGGGAATCGGCCCAGGACGGGGAGTGAGGCCTTAAGAGCCAGCGAGGATCCTGCACGGCTCTCCGGGGCCAGCCGAGCCCCCTGCCACACTTACTCCCAGCAGCGGCCCGCGGCCGATCACCGTCTCCCCGGGCGCCAGGGCCACCCGGGGGCCGCCGTCCTGAGGCTGCAGCTCAAAGCCCCCGGACATGGCGGCGAGGAGTAGGCCCCTTCAAAGGAGACGGTCCCCGCAGCCGTTTCCGCCTTCCAGGGACACGCGCGGGGCCTACGGAGGCCTCGGAAAAGCACAGGGGGGAAGGGGCGCAAAGACTCCGCTCGGGCTTGTCAAGTCCTAGTGCAGCTGGGGCCTAGCGACGGGTCCCGAATCCCGCCCCGCCCTCGGGTCAGTGACGCACAGAGGGATTTCCCCATCACACCTCCTCAAACCATTGTTCAAAAGGCCCGGTTTAACTCACTCCCCCATTCCTTCTCACCGCCCTCCCGTCTTGGAGGACGCCGGACCTTGTAGTCCGCGACGGCTTCCCTGTCCTGCCTTGCAGAGCCGAGACGCGCCGGTAAAACTACCAATCCCCAAAGGAAATGCGCGCCCCTCTCTCTACGCCTGCGCGAATCCCGAGTCAGTGGGGCGGGGCTAGAGTGGGCAGGGCCGGAGGAATGACAAGAAGGATTCAAAGCCCAAGGTTTTAAATCGTGGAAGGAGACCGCGCCGCGCTGGACGGGTAGGGTGTCTTCCCGCGGGCAGCGGGCAGTAGGGTCAGCGGCTCAGCTCTGGCGCCAGCGCAGGCTCCGCTCAGCGGCGCGCAGCTGCAGTGACAGTCGGTGCTCGTAGTTGTTATTGTCCATTTGTCAGTGCCCTGGCTTCTTCGAGCTCCGACAGGTGCGGTCTGTTCGGGGCCCTCAAGGAGGGTGGCTCAGATGGCACGTGGGGTCGTTCCTTCCTACCTGCGGGGTCTGGGCAGGTGGGGGCTCCCCGAAAGCCAGGAGGCGCCCGCCGCCAGATGTGCGCTGCCTCCGGATCCCTCCCTCTGTGTGACACTTGAAAGGGGACGAGCTCTTCCCTAACTAGAGAGGTAATTCGGAAAAGTTTGATTTGTAAAGAAGATGCAGAAGAAGGTAAGTTTGCAGGCATCTAGGCAAAACTGGATTTAGAAGAGGAAAGATGCCTGATGGAATTTTAGGAAACTCGCTAAGGCACCGTCTTTCCCGCGGCGCGCCGCCCCCCCCCCACCCCGCGCCC